GAGAATTGGAATTGGAATAAAATAGAATAGAATAGAATAGGAATAGAGAAATAGAATGGAATAGAATATAGAATAAGAATATTCTACTGATTCAAAAATAAGGCCCTAAAAATCAGCTGTGACTCATTCAACAACGGCCCTGCTTAGAAATGAAAATTCTGCTGCCAGATGTGTTCCTAAGTTGGGCTGTGTGGATGCAGAATGTTTAGAATAGAATAGAGCTGGAAGGTCCCTTGGAGGTCTTCTAGTCCAGCCCCCTTGCTCAAGCAGGATACCCTGCAACCATTTCAGACAAGGGACTGTCTAGTGGTCTCTTCTTAAAAGCCTCCAGTGACGGGGGACAGCCCACGATTTCTGGAGGCAATGAAAGCACGCCCTCTTTGCACCTTTAAAAAATAAATAAATAAATAGCTGAATTGCATCAGAGAGCTAGCTGTTGGATTGCTCCGTTTTGCAGATGCTCTCTTGGAATAATCTAGTGTCCCTGGATACACCTCCCCCCCCCCACAATGCTTTGACAGGCCCTCTGGAGCAAATCCTAAATTTGCTTTTTGCTATTTAAGGTGCCTTGACTCACCCAAAGGCTCTGCCAGCGTCAGGGACTCGTGGCTGAGAGCACCCAAAGTCAACTTGCCAAACACGCAGCTGACACAACACCACGACGTAGAAGCGGCCGGGTGGATTTTAAAGCAGGCGTGTGCAAAAAAAAACAAAAAAAAAACGCCCTTCGCTCAACTGACAAACAGGAAAAACACAGTCCTTGCAATTAAAGGGGGCAAAACTTTCTTTTTTAGGCTTGTAGCGATAAGATTAACATGTACAAATTGGAGAGCAATGACGTGCAAATGTTCACTTGCTCGCTTGCTTGCCAGCCACTTTTCTCATCGATTCTGATGGGCTGCTTGGAAGTTGTTGCTCTATTATTAGTGCAAACCCACTCGTTCCCCAAGAAAAGTGAATTGGGGAGCGAAATCCCTTGTTCAGAAATTGCTGGTCGGTAACATGTTTACATAGGATAGGATAGAATAGGATAGAATGGGATAGAATGGGACAGGATATTGGAATGTAGAATAGGATAGAATAAGAATGAATAGAATAGAATAGAATAGAATAGAATAGAATAGAATAGAATAGA